AAAAAATAAATATGTATGCAGTAATAGCAACAGGGAAGAAGAGAGTTTGGGATATTTGTACCAATGGCATTTAAGTGATGTTACAAGTGCTTCAGTAATACACTTTCATTATTCCCAGATAAAATTCCTTTTATACACCCATCATATAACTCATATTGTTGTATACATGTGACCTTGTAAATGAGCTTGGCTACTATGGCAATGTTAAATGATACCACATTTCTTTGGAAGCCGTTGTCACATTAGAGTCCTCATCAAAGTACCAGATGAGGAGTTATGCAGCTTTGACTGCTATTTGTGGACTGACTGGATGCAGCTCTCATGGGATTTGGAGACAAAGTCATGATGAATAATAAACAATTCAATTGGTGAATTTCTTGTTTTCCATTGGTGCATTTAAGGCTAAAGAACTGTATTGGGTCTATTATCTTAAGGAAATTCTTAGAACAATTTTCTTGTCAAAGTAGAACTACTGCCCACTTTCTCTCTATATATTATACTTTGATAAAAATTTTTGGAAAATATAAAATTATGCCATCATTTGTAAGGGTTATTCATTTAGATTTTGTGAATTCCTGTATTTATTAATATCATTTATATTCAATATGTTTCTCCCTCCCCATTTAAACGAAATGTAACTAAAAATGAGAAAGACCTCGTCAGATCCTTAATGAGAGCTTAAAGTATATAATCAAATAATAGCAAGCATCAATGCTGTTTTGAAATATAGTATTAGACTTGTTGGCTGAAAGTTAAATTTTGTCACAACCTGTTAACAAATTACAACTAATTTAACTTAGGACTTTATGTGTAGCCTTCATATCCTTCTTTAAATAAAAAGAATTGAACTAGATGAGCTCCAAACTCTCTTCCAGCTCTAGGATTTGTTGTTAATTTTATATTTCGGTGAATTTCTGTTCTGGTTTAAACTCTGATGATGCCAAGTGTATTTTAATATTAAAGATACCAATAGCATTATCTAAGTCGTATGCTAGAGATGGAGGGGGTGGGAGACAGGGAGAGAGAAGAAGAGGGAAAAGGAGAGAGGATGTTTCTTCACTGCAAGTGGATTGAATCTGTGTTTTCTTGTGCAATACATTCACTATTAAGTAAGGAAAGAAAACTTCTTTGGCTATGTGTTAGAAATTTGAGTGTGTTATATTTGCATTGACAGTTAAATAATGTATTTCACAAAATGATATCAACTGGGAGAAAAGGTGATAGTTTGAGCTCTGTGGTGTATGTGAAAATCTCAAGATGCTGGAAGTCTGCTCTAACACTAGCAGCTCCTGCTTCTTAGACAATAGAAGGTGTCATGTGATACTCTGAACTTTTCCTTGTCATACCTTAATATGAGAACACCTTCTACAGTTCTGACCCCCTACTAAAGATTAAACCTTACCATTGCCAAAAAAAAAAAAAAAATCCCCTTACCCAGTCTCTACTTTCACACATGGGAGAAGAATTGGTTTCAAATTTACTATAACTCAAACCATTAAGGACTGTATTTGTCCAAGACAACACCTTGGTTTATACTCCAGACACTGCCACGCAGCCAGTGTAAACTCTCAGTCTTAGGTGTAATGCACTCCATATGCTTCACCATTCTGTATAGGCAGACAATTGAATCTTTCACATTTGAGTTGGTTCAGATTAGTAGCTTGAAATTGGAGATAGCACAATAATACAGTTTTAGAATGATGGATGCTATTTAGAAAGAGGAACAGCAATTTCTAAGGGAAATATAAGTAAAGATAATTTATGTATTTGACACAAGCTACTAGTCAATAATTATATGGTCATTATTTCTATACATGATGGAACTATTTAACATGTAAAAAGTTTATTCCAACCACAAAGGTGTTTTCTACTTCATAGGACATCTTTTAATTGTATGGAAATAGCAGTGTTATTTTATTGATTATGAAAGTGACATCCATTCATTACCCAAAATTACAAAACAACTTCGAAACATCTGAAGAAATAATACAAATATCTACTAATCTCACCAACCAGAGATAACGTCAATTAAACTGTTGTCTTTTGGAGTATATCTGTTGATATTATATATGTGTGTATGTGTAATGTAGAAAACAAATGCATAATATATACAAAAGATACATGATGTGGTTGAATTTGAATCATCTTTTATATATGTTTGTAACCTGCATGCTTTCTTAGAATTATGACTGATTTCCTATATTCTTATTATTTTAGAACATGATTTTTAATAGTTGCAGTATATTTGTAATGATTTACCATGAGCATTTAATCAATGTTATTATTGGATACACATTTTCAATATAATAAATATTACTTCAGATACTTGACTATACACAAACTTTTTGATATATCAGATTATATCTTTTGAACACATTAATTCATCTGAAATTATTGAATCAAAAGTTAATAATTATTTCTGATTTTGTCATAGCAATCTGTTTTAAAACACTCTTACCAAATAGTGTATGAATTTATTAATTTCCTAAATCCTTGTCATGATAACCTGTTTTTTAAATTTCGTCAACTTGGTAGGAGGAAAATGCTATCTTCTTTAACTTGTATTTTCATTACAAGTAAGCTTGCATTTTTTTTATTTCTTATTCATATGTATTTTTTTCTTTGATACTTTAGAATATTGTGTCATCTGCCCCTTTTTCTATCTGGCACTCTGTTTTTCTGGCACCGAATTCTATGGGGATTAGATCTTTTTTGGGTTCCATTAACATTGTGATGTTCAGATCTTATGGAGATGTTCCTCATATAGCTATTTTTAATCTAATTTTGACTCTCAACACATATAGGGTTATTATACTAAAATTTTCTCCATTAAAAGGATTTCTGCACTCAGCGTTTAACAATCTAACTTTATATTATTTTTGAAAAATTAGAAAATCTGAAGAAACTGATGTCTAGACATTTGAAGACAGAAATAAAAGAAAAGAATGTGGCTCAAGTATTTACCTCAGGAATATGCCTATCAAATAAATCAATGGACCAGGAAAACACAGGTATGGCGATTGAGGGGCCACTTTACTGGGTGGACTGTATATATTGGAAAGATTAGTGGTTTTCAGGCTGTGTCCCTTCCTCCTTTGATTCTTTGTGGATGCTACTCACAAACCTGTAGTAGGTGAGGAGAAGGCAAAACACTAAGCACATGCTACCAGATCCCCAGGTAAACTGCATCCATCATAACTGCTCTGCTTCTCACCGTTCACTTTATATACTTGTTCTGTGATGAATTTCTTTTAAAAAAAAATAGGGCTCTTCTGATAATTAGGGTTTTGAAACTACTGCTCTAGAAGGTTTTCATTTCTTTGTGTTAAATTATTTTGTTATATCAAGTTTTACTGTAAAGCAACACAAAACCTTTCTGGAACTAGGAAAAGATTCAGTTCTAAAATAATAGAAATTTTAATCAGTACAGTAAAATGTAGGTTTGTGTTTAATCTCATAAAGCTATCTCAGATTATTCAGGCATAGATGATATAACGAGTTCTAAACAATACCTATGTGATAGCTTGCTTTTAGCATAATTTATATACTCAGTATATGAATCAAGCATAAGTTAGATAGATAAGTAGATATAGATATAGATACGGATACAGATACAGATATAGATATAGATATAGATAGACTTTAAATCTTAAGTCCTACAGTGTTGTTTGTCTTGGGGGTATTTTGTTTCGTTGTTAAATGTCTAATTGTTTGGAGTTGAAAGGGTTGCATATTGCAATAGAACTGAAGGTAGGATTAGTCCAGTTGTTATCAACCCACTAAACATCTGCTGTTAAAGAAATGTTCATTACCTTTAAACCAAAAGCTAGATCTAGTAAAACCTAAAATGAAATGTGCCAAATGCTACTATAAATTTATTCCAAATTTATTCCAAAGTACCATAGTGAAGCAGTGTTACATAGCTTTATGTAGCTTTTTCCTTAGAACTTAATAGTAAATAGTCCTTTTGGCCATACTGAAGAGTTTCTGTCATTCATCCTAATTTCTAGGTTTTATATGCTGAGAGGTTTTTAAAATCATATTTTGAAGCAAGTAGAAAAGTCAAGTGAAGTGTATGCAACATAAATGTCGGTTTGTTACATACAAAATGTTGAGATAAAGTTGTATTTATCGTTAGTACATCATTTACTCATTCAACAAACATTTATGGAATCTTGTCTTGTTAATTGGGGAAAAAGTAGAATGAATGAATATTTGTAAGTACTTTCAAAATTTCTTACAGGGACTTCTTTTTAGACAGAATAAGATCCTTAGGATAGATGATAATGACAATTACAATAATGATAATAATATATATCACTTATATATACACACTTACTAGCCTTGAATTGACTTGCTAGTGTATATTATTTCATTTGTTAACATGAAACTATAGAAATAAAAATCTTTATTTAGAAATTAGGAAATTTAGACACTAAAAGTTAATTAACCTTGTCACAATCTAAGTGCTAGTAAGTGACAAATAGAAGATACAGCCCAAAATGTCATATTCATGTCTATGCAATGACCCATTACAGAATGGACAGTACTGATTGAAAATAAAATACAATATCTAACAGGGAATGAATGTAATTTACACATAGAGGTAAGTGCCCCAACACAGCTGCAGACACTTGAAGAGAGATTCCCCCAAAGAATCTGAATGACTCTCATTGTGTATGGACACAACTTTTGTTCTAATTTTAATGACAATTAGAAATGAACTGCTCTAGAGCAAAGAAACAAAGTGAAAACTACAAAAATCAAAAACAAAATAAAATAAAATTGAATCTGGGCTGAGCAGTTTATCAATTAAACTTTCTTTACAGTTAGAGTTGCAGTTACACTTTCCTGATCTGATATAGCAGCTAAATGGGTACTCAAGTCCGATGATAAAATGAAACTTACAGATCCAAGTGCTCTGCTGAGTATATTTACGGAGTATTTACCCTGTGCCAGACACTGTACTAGAAAAACATCAATGTAAGATTCCAGGAAGACTCAAGAAATATACCGTTAGTGATGTGAATTAGGCCCCTCAGGAACAAATTTGAAGTCTGCCAAAAGCCTGGTGTGGCAGAAACATTTACTGCTCACCAAATAGCCATGTGCTCCAGAATATTTTCCAGACCCGTAGCAGGTATATCAGGCTTTGTTCTTGCTTTCAAGCTGTGAGTAAAAATGACATGTATCACCTCCGCATTAAAGTATATAAGACCAGGTGTGTGACCCTCCACTTCTGTCTTCCACTGCTGTGGAGTTTTGTTTTGGAGGAACGTGCAGAGATGACTAATTCACAAGGTCAGCATCTGCCTGGAGAGCCAACAATCTCGCATTAGAATCTGCGGGAATAAGAACTAAACTTTTGCTAAGGCAATAAGACATAGAGGTTAATTCACTGTGACAGCAGTGTCTAGTCCATCACAAATACTACACCTGGCCCTCCTCTTTGCAAGTTTCGTTGCTAAACAAACTCTTTCAAGCATATCAATAGTTAATTAACGACGATGCTCCCGATGCACAGAGGAGTAATTGAATGTCTTCAAATAGGATGTTTTGCCACTCCAGGAATTTCCTGTGTTTCCTTGAGATCTTGTTCTGGAGATTTCCAGGTGTGGTACCACATTGTGAAGCTCCTAATCACAGGGTCAAGAGGATCAACTTACAGAGAGATTTCAGGTCTTACATCATTTTGACAGATCTATATGTAATTTAGTACCTATTTGTGGAAGGGGAAAGTAAGGGAGTGAAAGTTAAATGACATCCTCAAGATCAGCACTGTCTAAGAGAAATATTATGTAAGCCACATTTGTAATTTTAAATATTCTAGTAGCTACGTTAAAAAATGAAAAAGGAAGAAAATGAATTTTAATAATGTACTTTATTTAGCCCAGTGTATCCATCAAATAGCATTTTAACATGTATAAAAGTTTATTAATTTCACAGTCTGAAAACTGATGTGCATTTTAATCTTCAAACATATCTTAATTTAGACTACTCACATGTCAAATGCCCAGTAACCACATGAGGCTATATTTAACCATGCAGCTTGAGATTTAACTTAAATTTATTCCACATTTATTAAGCTTATGTTAAGCATGGTACTAGGTACACTCACAACATTGTTGAATTTATTATAATATTCTTTTGAGTTAACAAATGAATATACTCGCAGAGTTAGAGTGACAGAGCTAAGATTTAAACCCAGTCTCCCTCCTGCCTCTGGAGATGGGACAATGCTCTAGGCAAGTGGATTACAATGGGGAGTCCTGTGTAATCCAAGTAATCTCCTTCCCAATAAAGCAATGGCATTAGTGATGGAGAGAAAGATGAAGTTAATGAATATTAAAGAGGTATACTTGAAACTACTCTACCTGAAGATTGATTGCATATGGACGGTGAGAATGGAGGGGCTTGTGGAGGGTGAGTTCCTGTTTCTGACTTGAGAAACTGGATTGGCAATGATGCTGTTCAGAAAAAGACTGACATGAGACTTGTTAACTTGAAGTTGAGGATTAGCCATATTTGATCACTGGAATTGCTAGTACAGTGCAAGGAACCTAATCTTTTTTGTTTAAGCCGTGACTAGGTTATACTTGGTCACAAATGCCATATGATAATGATTTAACACCTGCTAACTATTTAAGAAAAATAGTTTCTGCATAACAGAAGTACAAATAGATTGGCAAATCTCGAATATAATTATGGAAAGAGGAATACTAACAGCTAATTCAATAACCTCAGATTTACAGCATATTACATTTACAAGCTTCTCTGGCTTCTTTATATCTTTTTAAAAGATACCCATTAGGCTTTGTCACTACACATGCAACAGTGGAGATTTTTGTGGAGTTTCATAATTGTGTGCTTATCTTTGGACCTGGAAGAACAATTCCAAGTGATGCCACCTGGGCCTGAGACATTTGACTTGGCAGGGTCTTGTCAGATGATAGTAGACCATGTACTTTGGAAAATCTGATCTTAATAATCCAAAGGGGCTTGGCTTTCTACTCTGATCAAATCACATCGTTAACTGCATAATGCAGGAAATAAGAGGTGACTAAGTACAAAACTTGGAGGAATCCAAGCATCTCAAAAGCAGTTGACAGGGACTACTGGCCCACAGATGGTAACTGCTTTGGGAAAAAAAAATGTAACAGTTATCCTAGAAAGTCATAATTGAGCTATTTTTATTTTTCTATATTTATTATATCAGGGAAATATTCTTAAAGTCATTTGCAATAAGTGGAGGTTTATTGTAGTTGATAATACATCACATTTATTTAAATTGACTCTGAGTATGTCTTCATAGAAACGTTAACCTACTGTAACCAACACATGTAGTCATCTTAAATGAGTTATTTGCAGAAATGCCACTGTAGATCGCTACAGATACTGCAGGTTAGAGGAAGGAACTGCCGAGTTCCCCACTACTCATGCAGCTCACTTCAAGATCAGTAGTTTACTGTATTTTATCATAGATCGTTCCAAGATTGTTTTGACATTTTTACTCATGGCTCTGTTTTCCTGTCCATTAGTTACTTATGCCCTCAAGAATTAGCCCTTGGAAGCATGGAATTAGACCAAGGTGGTACCTACAATTCTGAGGTTATAAGGCAAGGGTCAAGCAAAATGAACTTGCCAAGTAGATTGAAATAATCTTTTGTAGCCACTCTGTGTTGAAGAGGTTTCAGTTAGTACTTATACACTCATGTAGTACAAAGAAAGCTTTACTTTGACCACAGGTCTCCTAGTTGGTAAAAAACAACTGTTAGCTGATGGTATGAGGAATTGCCTTATTGTGGGCCCGTGGGCTTAGAGCTAATATTCCTTCTGAGTTCTGGTTAGTGTTTTATTCTGCTGAGATTCCCTAGTAATTTGAAATGCTCTAGAATACATTTAGCCCAATACTTTTTTTTTCTTTCAGCCACTGAAAAGTGTTCTATATCAGCTTATTCCCTTCCCATATACTGTTTACCCCAACTTAATAAAAATCATCCTTTAAAAATAAAGAAAATTTTGAAAAACAATTGACTACAATGACTTTCAGGTTACAGATTTGTAAGCCCAGAAAGCAATGATTATTCTGAACCTCAGACATACAGTAGCTTGCACATTTCTAGGCGTTGACCACATTGCTACCTAAGTTTCACATTATGCATGTGTGACTGCTTGAAACTGTTTCTCAAAACAGTATTTTGTTACTATTACTTTTATCAAAAATATAAATGCCATATATATATGTTTAAGCATAAACCTTTCTGATTACTTATTTTTAAAATTCCAATTAAACTAAAACATGTACCTGGAATCTTTTTACCGTCATTATAAGCGTACATGGTTTATGAGGTACAAATACAGAATCATTTTCCATATATTTAAGCTTATCTTACTTTTCTGCCTCTTTCCTGCTAAATGCTTCCCTCTGGCTTTCCCTTGACCTATTCTGTCCTTCTATCATCTTTCTAATTTCTAAAGTCAACTAAGACATAAGCAGATAGTTGTCATTTAGTCATTCTCGTTCTGTTTTGAACCATTTTCATATGTCCATTACCTGGTATAAAAATACTCCATGTCATTTCCCAAAATCTTTACAAATCTGAGCTGAATTGAAGTATTAATATGAAATTTTTAAAAGTATTTTGTTACAAGGTATCTTGTATTTGACCTTAACTTTACGTTTTGATTGGTAAGCATAAAGTTTTCCCTTTATTCCAGTAGACAAAAATGTTGACATCAAAGGCAACCGGTATTTCTTTGCTGGAGTATGCAAGTAAATATTTTAGGGGAGCTATACCAGTACAACTAAAACACTAGAAGTTTTTAGTGATACAAGTCATAAACCCGGGCTCACAATGAAAGAGGCACTTTAAGAATAAAACATGTTACAAATTGATGAAGCATGAAAAATAAAAACACATAAGAATAACCTACCATAGTGCCATAATTACAGTAGTCATGTTAAACTCGTCAAGTTGGAAAACTTAAAACAAAAAGCTAAGGTTTTTACCTACAATTCCCCTCTTTAGTTTCAACTGAATTTTTATTCTCCAAGATTTATTACTTGTTCTAAATTCAGTCCACTTAAAAGTATAGCATTGCTTTTTATGACATGGTAGAAATAAATGATTTTATTTTCCCTTAAATGGTAGATAGAAATTTAATGTTTATGAGTTTGATGGTATAGAATATATAACATATGATATAGCATTTCATTATGTAACTGTCTTGCATTAGTGTGCCTCTGCATCTTATAGTTAAATATGTAAAGGAGGCAGTTTTCAACTATAAAAATTTAAAATGCATACGTTATCAATAAAGATAACATGCAAGTTGAATGCAAATGAAAATGTAGCAGTGGAATGTAATTATTCCTCATATGCAGCATTTTAAGGTAACTCTGTGGAATAATTCTGGATTTAAAACAGGTGGACAAAAGGAAGTTCAGTTAGAAGTTTTTGAAATTTGAGAGGTGGTCGGTTCCTTCCTAATTTTAACACTCCCCACACAGACAAAAAAAAGATAATTAAAATTTCATAAAATACCTGTGGAAACCAATTGGAATTCTGCAAAATTGCATTTATTTTGAATTTTTAATTAAACCTTATAAATTTAATATTATCAGTCATAATCTATATTTTGTGCTAGTTTTCTGCATATTATCTGATACATGGGACTTGAAGAAAACCACCAATTTCTGGAATAAATCATAAATCTAAATGTAGGAAGAGATAAAAATTAGAAAAATGAAACATGTTGAATATTATTTTATCCTTTTCAGAAATAATGAATAAGTATTTATTTCTTATAGTATATGTAGAAACAGAACACACTTTACGGTGAAAGAACCGATTGTTGTTAGGTAAAAATAAGTGACTTATTTTAAAAATCAGTAAAATATATAGAATCACTAAATAACGTGCAGTAGAAAATTCTCTCTTAAATTTTGTGGTGCGTAATTCCTGGAGAAAGGTAATTCTTAAATTTTTAAAAATGGAGTGCATCATAAATCACATAAATTACCATTGGCTGTTTAGCATATTTTAATATATTTTCAAAATTCTTTATTTCAGAAGAACTAACTAAAGGACATAACTGTTATTTCTTGGAGAGATATAGCAGAAATAATATTTATATTCTCAACAAAACTTTCAGAGACAAATCCCAGTTTCAACTTAATTTTCCACACTTCAATTCATATATCATGACTGTATGTTACCAAGGCAATTTTATCTAGCAGGTAAAATGTGAAATAGAACTTTATAATATCTGTAACTAAAGATCATATTTAATTTGAAGTATTTTTATTCCCCTCATACTTCTTGGCACAGACATTCAGAAGAATGGCAGCTCTTAAAAGAATCATCATGATTCTTAAAATTTAAACATAAAATTTTCAGATTGCTTAAGTTCTATTCCCCTTAAAATAAAAGATTCTTTAAAATACCTCTGCCTTTATTATTGAATATCACTTCATTAAGCAGAAGGAATAATAGATAAACACATTTATCAAATGTGAAGAGCTTAGTGCATGTTTAAAATAGTTTTGATCATATTTCCAACTAAAGGTGAGCAGTTTACATTTTTCATACATTCAACCTCTTGTTATAATGTGCTGCTTGATATCAAAATCTTGCATAAAATGTTATTAATTAAACATTTTTTCAGAGAGGTTCAAGCATATTGTCAATATAGGATAAATATGCTATATATAGTTTTAAATGAATGCTATAGAAATTCTATAATAAATTTTGTAGTTTTTACTATTCTCCATGATATAATTAGCCATTAGAGGTAAAAAGGTATCTTTCAGCATTGAGTTTTATAGATGTAGACACTGATGTAGCTATTATAGGAATGCTAGGGATTTTTCCTGTTATCGTTGCATTTTTAAAAAATTCTCTATGGCCTCAAAAATAAATACTTTATATTATTCCCGATACTCTAAGAAGTGAAAATTTTGAAAAAAATGTAATATATATTTAGAAATTCTCAGAAAATGAACCATATTTAATTCTAGAATGCATCAAGACCTTCTTTTCTACTTTTTTTTTCTTTGAATCACACTTTTTTTTCCAAGTAACAATTTCCTTATATAATGCTTTCTATTCAAAATCTGGACTTCATCATGTATACTGTTGTATGTTTGGGGTCTTCATTTAAAAAGACCTTTCCTGCTAGCTTTGTTTCATTGTGTGCCTTTAAAAGAGACTCCTTTCTTTTTTAACCTTTTCTAATTTTTCTTTCGCAAGATTTCTGGCCCCACACTCAGCTGACTGACTGAGGCAGGTAGTAGAGAAATTTCTGGACATGTTGTTAACATCTAACACAATGAGTGAGAAAAAAGCCAGCACAATCACCAGGCAGGTTCAAGGAGAAGTGGCAGCTCCTGGAGATGAGAACTTCTGTGTGTTTGCTAGTTGCTGGTTACCTGCAACACAATGGTTAAATTCAGCTCCATTCATTTCTCAATTGTGTTGCTCCCTCTAAACCGCTGTAATGCAAATCGAAGGACCTTTATGGATGTTTTTTTACTGATGTGTGCAAATCAAGTGTATCTAATTAATCTTGTCTGACATTTTCCTCAATATCTTTAGTAGACAGTATTACATTATGTAAATATTTCTGGTGACTGTTCATGGAGGTGGCTGCCTAAATTTTTCTTTGGATAAAGTGTTTAATGCTTTCACCCAGAATCCATAGAGGAGCTACCCAAGTTTGTGAAGTTTAGTGTTGCTCTTTGTACTTCAACTTTTAATATCAGAGCACATATTGAAACCATAAACACAATGAAAATTCAAAAACTATTCCGACGATATTAGAAGAATATATCCCCTCCTTTTTTTTCATCCTTAAAGAGCCAAGGGCGTGGGGAGTGGCAGGAAGAAACATTCTTAAGATCTAAGTCCTGGACGCCATCCTTCGAGTGCTTAAAACCCTTAGAAACGTGCAACGTGAAGAACACCCCCTTTCGAAGTCTAAAACAGTATTAGATTCCCAAAACATATCGGCAAAGAAAAGCCTTACCGTCAAACGCTTGCAGCAGGTTCCAGCTCAGACCCAGACTGAAAAGTTGAGCAGCTGGTGAACAAAAGTTTTAGCCTTTTTTTTTTTAAACGAAGTCTGCAAAACTAATTTCCCTTAAAATAGGGCTCAATTTCCGTTAAAGAAAGCAGCACTTACAAATCTCAGAATTCCTGATCACCCCCACCCCATCCCACCTCTGAGCAATGGAAAACAGTTCGAACTTTCACACGGAGGTAGAGGTTTATTGCGAAGCCACTATTCTACAAGACCACTTAAGAGAAAAGGGAGATGGTCAAATTGGAACCTGAGGGACTGGGTTAGGGAAAAGGTTCTGCCTTGGTGACACTTCTCAAAGATTAATCAATACTTTTTTTTTCCTAATTCAAACCAGATGACTGGCCCACTTTGCTGTCCCCATTAATCCCATTAACAACTTCAAAGACCTGCTCCCCGTCCTCTGGACACCTGAGACAATGAAAATAATAGGGTGACAATGCTGGTGGCACATTTGGGGTCCCAGGCAGGATAGGTGAGCGCCGATATTCTCCTGATGTGACATGTCCCAGGCAGGGCTGAACTGTTCCTGCACCTCATTACTGGCAGCCGGTGTGCTTGCCTTGTGTAAACGACTTGGCCCCCAGCAGACAGTGTCGCCCCTCAACCATGTGGCAGTATCAAAGCCCAGCCGTCGCTCGCATTAATTCACTGGTGGCAAGTTTTCTTACTCATTTTCTAGAATTTAAGATTGTAACCGAGGAGACCCGAGGCACCAGGCTTAGTAAACTTTGAGGGATACCCAAGTGTTGTTTCTCAGAAAACGGAACCATGGCGGGGTTGGGGGAAGGGGTGCGATTTGCTGGTTTAATTTTGAGCAAAAGAGAGGGTGGATTTCTGAAGGGAAACGAGGAGACATGGGCTGGCTCCTGAGAGGAAAGACTGGAAATGTGCATGCAATATGCACATCTCATGTGACCGGGACGAAATCGCTTCGAAATATTCCCGACCCAGGGAAAGTTCTTCTTGGTGGACAAGTGGCTAGGAAATGGAGTGAGACTAGGAAAGCGGAGGGAAGGACGTTTGCGGACAGCGGGGTAGAGACCCCACCTGGCACCGCAGGTGAGGATGCCGAGGTCTGGACATCAGGAACTGTCACCGCTCCGTGCTTTCTTCCACCCGACCAGGTCTCGCTCCTTGCTGCACGGCACGGAGAATGGCCTTTTCTTGCCCGCAGGGCACTTCCCTGCAACCTCAGATCTGGCGTCCGAGCCCAGTAACAACCCACCCACAGACACCGGCTGTAAAAAGCCAGGAGCGCCACTGTGCCCAAGGCACGAGTGATGTGAAGTTTGAAAAACTTGAATTAGTGCGCTCCAAACAGGCGCTTTTTCCTCAATCTTACTGCTTCCTTCCTGCCCCTCCAGAACTAGGCACACTCCTAGATTTCCTGCAGGTGACAGTGCCCAGGTGGCACTGACACTGACGAGAGACCTTTCCTGAGAGAAGTGGGCAGGTAGGACACTGGGTGCGGGGTTGGGACTATCGGGGCCGCTCCTGAACCGGCCCAGCGGGAAGGGGAGCGGCTGCCGGCCGGGGCTCGGGCTCAGGCGCCGGGCGCGCCGCTTGCAGTCTTGGCGGCGGGCAGGGGTGGGCGGGCGTGGACACTCTGCGCGCGTCCAGCAAGCGATAGGAAATGGAACTGGGAGCGCATGGCGCGGACTGAGCGGGAGTTTTGGAGGGAGTTTGCATGTGGTCAGCACTGGGCTCCTAAGCCAGCCCCCAGCTCACATTACACTCTATTTATAACCTCTCAGAGCCGTTTCCCCCTGAAAGCAGTTCTTTGGGACCACCTTCTTTTGGCTTCAACCTCTCCACTCTTGACATCTGAGTAGTTCGGAGGGAAGCTCCTCCAGGTCCGAGTGGTTTATATGTAAAGGAGACTGGCCGCTAGGGTTCAGGACCGGGATTATCCGAGCTCTGCAGAAACGCGGGCGACTATTGATTTGGGAGGGGGAAAAGCCACACGGTTTCCAGTGAAAAGTGACAGAGTGTGGTGGCGTTTGGAACCGTCGTGGTCTTCTGCCTGGAGCCCGAGACTTGCATGCTATGGAACACCCGCTCTTTGGCTGCCTGCGCAGCCCTCACGCCACCGCGCAAGGCTTGCACCCGTTCTCCCAATCCTCTCTCGCCCTCCATGGAAGATCTGACCATATGTCCTACCCCGAGCTCTCCACTTCTTCCTCGTCTTGCATAATCGCGGGATACCCGAACGAGGAGGGCATGTTTGCCAGCCAGCATCACAGGGGGCACCATCACCACCACCACCATCACCACCACCACCACCAGCAGCAGCAGCACCAAGCTCTGCAAACCAACTGGCACCTTCCGCAGATGTCCTCCCCCCCGAGTGCGGCTCGGCACAGCCTCTGCCTCCAGCCAGACTCGGGAGGGCCCCCGGAGCTGGGAAGCAGCCCGCCGGTCCTGTGTTCCAACTCTTCCAGCTTGGGCTCCAGCACCCCGACCGGGGCCGCGTGCCCGCCAGGGGACTACGGCCGCCAGGCGCTGTCACCCGCGGAGGCGGAGAAGAGAAGTGGCAGCAAGAGGAAAAGCGATAGCTCAGGTAAGGGCGCGCCGGGCACCCTCGGCGAAAGGGGGCGGAGAGATGACAGGGAAGATACTCGCATTAGAGTGAGGCAGCAGGGAACATGGTATGGCCTTTTCCTCTCTGGCTCCCCGCCGCCAAATTCGGCAAGGCTGCTTTGGTCCTGTAATTTGGGGGCACGTGTTTCTCCGAGGGCAACACTGCAGCCAACTGCGCTATGCTCTCCAAGATTCAAACTAGTTTACCAGAGGGTTGAGAAAAAAGGGCAAGTGACAAGTATGTGAAATCGATTGAGAAGCGTGACTTTCCATCTGAGCGATGGGGAGGAGAGTGCACCCTGGGATGCAGCGTCCGCTGGGCGGGCGTGCGGGTGCCGTTCCTTGACTTTTCCTTTGCAAGTTCCCGACTCAGTGGCTCGATTTTTCCCATCGTTAACTGGATTTCCAAATTATTGCACAATATTTGGAACTTGCAATGGAACTTGGCAGAGCATATGAGAAAAAGTTTTAGGTTTTTTTTTTTAAATTCTGATTTCAGACTTCTTTAAATAGGACTTTATTCCAAATGGTAAAAATTTCCCTTTCTTGGGGAAGAAGACAAATCCAGGATTTCAGAGGATTTTAAGGAATGTCAGAGAATTGTAACTAGATATATGCTCAAACCCTTGAAGAAAGACGATTCTTAATAGTAGTGCATTCATGTGATGCTAATCTAAAGAGAGAATTTAAGTTTCGAAAGTGGAAAGTAAAATTATCCTCCATTTGAGTATTATCAGAAACAAGTGGGAAACAAACAACCCGGGTATCGCTGGTACTCGAGGGTGCGCGCAGAAGGCGCTTATCTCCGTGGGTAAACGAGCCGCCACGCAAAAAGGGAAGCTTGCTGAACGCGGATGCTTGAAATTTAGCGCAGGCTGCCAACTAAATTTTAGCAATCCAGAGAAACTAAAGTTTTGCAGGGAACTCCTCAAAGCCCTTACCTATGTGTATCCTTATGAAATTGTTAAAAGATGCTTTACAATTAAGGAGGTTGTGAGTTTTCTTCTGTAGCAATAGCGGAACCTGTGTTCCATCTTTTTGAAAGAGCTGTCGTTTGTTTAATATTTACATATTTTCTTCCTTTGTAGAATTGGTTTAACAGTCCTGGAAGATAATTCTAGATATTAGTTTGAAAGATTGGAAAATGTTTATCCTTTAAAATGCTTTAGGTAAGATCCCACATGAATGACATTGATTGAGCCGCCTATTTCATGTTCTTTTGCAGCAATGGTGTCAGTTATTCGCCAGCAGTAGTATAGGATGGATCCTCCTATCACAAACTTAAAATCTAACTTTTACTTTCCAAGGTCAGTGGTGAACTTCTGATGCCCCATCACAAATTAGTTTATATCCAAGGAAGTTAGCAGTATCCCTCATTTTTAATGGTTTTTACTAGCTGTAAGTAAAACTCTCTTTCAGAGTGTTACGAAGTTAATCATAGCAAGAAAGTTTCCATCTTCATTAGGAAAAAAAATCAGTTTTAGAATGCAGTGGTCATTTTATAGAATCAGCATTTGATATCAGTGTAACTTTTCTGGAATAAGATCTGTGTTCAGGTTGGTCAGCAGCACTTTTGCAATTACTAGAAACTTACTGTTCATTTTACTTTCGGCGATGTGAAACCTATGTCATGGATTGTTCCTTATTCTTCCTCAACTGAATCAATACACCCAAGTTTCGGAGGGCAAATTGAATTTTCGTATAGGCACATTACTTTGGTTAAGGAGAAATGAGAAAAATGGGATCTCAGAACTGGTTCCCTTCAATTATTTTAATAACAACTTTCTTAGAAAATTCCTTATGTTAATAGTGCCACCCTCCTTTGGTGGGAAATAACCATACAACAAAATAAGTTTATTTTTACTTGTTGAAGATGATAATTAAAGTGATGGGAAAACAAACAATAGTTTTCTTCAACTACATAATGTATTAACAGATTACATCTTGACTGGGAAATACAATTAGTCATCACCAAGGGTGGAATCACTGGGGAGATAGAATGAACATTTTCTTTGATGGGATATTTTGAAAGAACTTTTGACTATCTAAAAGGAAATATCACAATAGTTTCTGATTAAATATAAGTATATTATTTGAAAATAAATTTTAATTTGCCAAATTCAGTATTTTGGTTAATTTATATTTGTTAGATTTTAGGATAGATTTAAATTCAAGGTATCTTTTTCCTGTGATGATGTTGCATTTGGCCTTCCATAATTTATGTTCACAGCTACTTCATTTGATAATATTATAAGGGCATCTTGATCCAGCAGAAACTAAAGCAATGAAGAAAATCACCATAATTCTGATATATTGTTAACTCATATATTAACCATTACTTATAGCAGAGTTTTAATGTTACAATATTTTCAAAAAATAAATTAATTTCTAAACTTTAAAAATTTTAAAATTGTATTAGACGAAACCCACGTCATACATTGTAGAGACCATTCATATTTTGTTATGCAGTTTATAATTACTATGTATTTCTTGTATTTCTAGTTGAGAGTAAATGTAGTACATGAATCCAAGTCACAGTCAGAACCAAAATTCTCTATCCTTGTATCTCATACCCAGATTGTATGTATATGTATATGTATGTACCACTGTGTGAAATTATGATGGAATTTTAAGCTCTGGAAAATACTGAAAACAACCCAAAATTTTATCCATGGTAATGATGCTGAAACTACAATATGTAACAAATTCCAGTGTGCATTTACATGCATTCCCCTTCCCAAACACACATGAACACACGCAGCTTAAGGATATAGAAACAAATATTTATGGACTTGACACTTCCACTGTAGTTTATTGACAATCAGAAACAACAAAGTTTAATAGAAAATCACACTATTTTTTTTATATGTGTTAAATATATTTCCAACTTGGAACCTGCTATGCTTTCCAGCATTATTAGCAAAGCCAACATCTGCCACACCTTCAAAGGAGCTCTTAAATATCAAAACTTTACAACTGCACTTAAAACAATCTATACAAAACAGGTGATTCTGAAAAAAAGGTCTATAAATAGTGTGAATTACTTGGCTTCGGTTACCTTTGATTGTTTGCCAAGCAGTGTAGTAATAGGTATAAACTGCCTACTTTCAGTTAGTATAGACAAATAGATTAATGAATCTAACTTTAGTTTTTATGCAGGTAATATACAGTATAAGTATGTAAGTATTTCCTATTTAATTAATGGGATGAATATAAGCATATATTCAAAATTATATACAAAAGAAAGGGAGTGATTTGGCAATGTGGATTTTACAAGATTTTGAATCACATTATATTCTTGTAAAATTGTAAATATTATAGCTACAAGATCATGAAGTATCTGTTGTCAGATAATGTCTGTCTATATGCCTGGGTCTGCAGAATGGCAAGCAAGTATTACGTTAATAAGCTGGAAATTAAATACAGAGTAATATCTTCCCCACTCTAAGTCTAGTATTATATTACACTTTTTTCTAGATATTTCAATCTTCATGTTTTCTGAAAGAAAAGAAGTACTTTATTATTCATCTCTGTGTTACTGGATCATGGCTTTTCAGCACTTGGTTTAGAATTTAAAATACAGTCTATTGGATCTGGATAATTATAGGAGAATATTGAGCAAATTAAATGACTCAAATCTGTGGAATAAAAAAAGTACCATTTTCAGTCTTTTACTTGGAGTGGTAGATTAATTTTAGGTGTGAACGTTTTTAAATGATGACCTAACATACAAAGATTTTTAAGTACTGTTGACCTATATGAGTGTTCTCAAATGATTACACTCAAAAGTCAAGAGCAGCAGTTCCTTTAGAATTAAGGTGCTTTATTGGTGAAAGTCAGCAATGGATGGAAAGAAGAAAGCAAATAAATATTGGAAGAGTTTCTAGTTCTCTGTAAATATCTTTATTTATAGTTGATTTGAAAAAGAAAAATATTAAATGCAAGACATGGCAGTGCTAAAACTTTCATTTGGGTTTGAAAC